CTTCCTGTGGCCACTGAGGGGAGCAGAGCCTTCAGGGGCAGCAGGATGCTAAAGAGGGACTGGGGCAGGTCCGGGTAGAGTGTGTGTGTGTGTGTGGGGGGGGTGTGGAAAAAGTGGACAGATTGCGGGACAGACCCTGCTAATGGGCTGGATGTGGGGAGGAGGTGCGGCAACGAGGAGCCCCAGAGCACCAGGAATAGGGCAGTGGGATTTATGGGGTTGGGGAACCAGGCTGTAGAGACGACCTGGAGTCATTCTCCAGACTGGGGCGCCATGGGCCCCTCACCTGCTGTGCACGACAATGGCGGCCTTGGGTAGGCCCGTGGTCCCCGACGTGTAGATGTAGAAGAGTCGATCTGCAGGAGATGAGGGTGTTGGCGACCAGGTGCTGGGAAGGTGGGGTGAGGGGACAGAGTGGGCATTGGTGGGGAAGAGGGGCCCCACCTTGGACTCACCATCCATGCCCTTCCCAGGGGACTGGGCCAGGGGGGCCGTGGATGCCTCCTTTAGCAGCGGGTCCAGGAGCTGGGTGTCCGGCCAGCTGCCCTCAGGACCCAAGTCTCCAGAGCAGAACTTGAGCAGGCTCTTCCCCAGCTGTCCACTCACCTCAGCCACCACTGCAGCCCAAAACAGACGTGTCATGGTCAAGGCTGGGCCGGCCCCTCCGAAGGGCCGAGGTGCACTGTCTCCTTGCCCTGAGCAGCCACAGGCCCCTGCCCAGGATAATGCTTGCACCCAGCCTCACCTGCTGCCAGCTCTCCTCCGAAGATGAGGGCCTTGGCGCCCGAGGTGCCCAGGCAGAAGGCGAGGGGCTCGCGCCGCAGGTTGACGTTGAGCAGAGCGGCCTCCACGCCCGCCTTGGCCAGGCCCAGCCACAGACCCACAAACTCCGGCCGGCCCTCCAGGAAGATGGCCACCACATCGCCCGGCCCGAGGCCCAGCTGGTGGAAGACGTTGGCCACAGCGTTGGAGTAGGCGTCCAGCTGTGCGAAGGTCCAGCACACACCGCTGCCTGCGTCCACCAGGGCCAGCCGGTCCGGCTGCTGCCGCGCCACTGCCTGGAAGATCCCTGGGATGGTGTGGCGGGCTCGCTGGTGCCGCCGCAGCTCCAGGCGCACTCTGATCAGCACAGAGAGGCCACTGGGAGGGGGGACGGAGGGGACGGCGTTACTGGGTACCTGGCCAGGCCCCGAGGAGACCACCCCAAGCCTCTGTGCCACATCTGGGGAAAGTGGAAGAAAAGGTCCCTGTACCCCCCAGACCAGTGAGGGTTCAAGGAGGACCCTTTGGTTGGGGGGCTTTGCAGGGACTAAGGTCCGTCTACCAACCAGCCCAGAAAGCAGCAGATTCTCACAGCTGGCCCGGCCCTCCATGACCCTGAGGGAGCCGAGGCCTAGTCCTGTCTTTGTTTCTCTCCTTTGGGACGTGCCAAGCACACCTTGCCGGACTCCTCAGGCGCCATCTGCCCCAACCAGACCCCGGGGTCCAGCCATGAGCTGGGCAGCTGCTCCACCCCCAAATCACTCAATGGGTGGCCAGGGGAGGGGAGGCTTCTCCCGGTGGGGCCAAGAGACCTGTTGTCAAGATAGAGGGGATACAACTCAATGAGCATTTGAAGCAGGTTCGTCTCACTTCCACTCCCAACATGCTAGTGGATGAGGGGATCAGAGGCGCAGGGGATGCCAAGACCCCAAAAGGAAGGAGGCAGGGCCCTGAATGACTGTGTAAAGGTGAGCAGCCACCAAGGATGCCAGGCTGTCAGATGAGTGAGAAATTAACTTTTTGTTTTAAGTCAACAAAAATTGCTTTAATTTCTAAATTTCTTGGTGTGGCAGCTTGAGATACGAGTGGTCCCGTTTTTATGTGGCTCCCTGCCCGGTGCCCAGAGTCTCTGGCTCTGAGAGGTAACCTCAAACCTTGTTAAACAGACACTGATAATGGGGTTCTGTTTGTTATAGCAGCTTGCTCTGCCCTGAACAATACAGACTTCATCTCAACTATACCTCCGTTTAGGCCTCATCTGGCCATCATGTCCCACCTGCTTTATCACCAAATTCCTTATCAAATCCATTCTTTGCACCCCCGCTGCCTCCCCCTTGCATCCTTGGTTCCTGGAAATGACTTCCTTCCATCCCTGGACTCAACATCTTCACAGCAGACTTCAGCACTGCCATTCACTCACTCATTCACTCACTCACTCACTCATTCATTCATTCATTCATTCATTCCCTTCCTCCTCCATTTAGCGGACAGCTGATGTGCACCAGCGCCTATTATGTGCTGGGTACAGTTTCTGGCTCAGGCACAACCAGTTCCGACCCTCAGGGGCTCACAGTACTTCCAGGAGACACACCCGCTCCTCAGACATGAAGGAGCATGAAGGAAGCGCTGGCTGGAGACCAGGCCCTGATGGGTGACGAGGCCAGAGTGATGTGGATGGGAGCAGGGGTGGGAGTGGCCCTGAGGGGAGACAGGTAGATCACTTCTCAGCAGGGCCTGGCAAGATGAAAAGAAGAGGCCATGGTAAGGATGGGGCACAGCCGGTACAAAGGCCCTGAGGTAGAAATGGGCCTGGAGAATGAGGCACATTCGAGGACCAGGGCAGAGGCCAGGGTGGCAGGAATCAGGCAAGAGGGGGATGGAGGGAGACGAGGTTCTTGGTGGGCAGACAGGTCTGTTAGAGGAGAGATGTACAGGCCTGCAAGCATCTGCAGTTTTTAAAACTAAGGGTTCAGCATTCTGATGACATTTGTGAGTCTTCCTGCTTAGGTCACAGCTTATCCTGGGAGGCCCTAGGAGCCCCTCCAGCTGCACCTGGGAAGGGATCAGAGTTTTTGGTCCTTGTAGGAATTTGCCCCCAGGAATTTGAACCAGCTGAACCCCAGCATCCGCACACATGCTACCTGCCAGCACACTGACATATGCACAGGCCTCACCTGCCTGCCCATTCACTGACCATCCTTGCCACCTCCCCCAGGAAGCCTTCTGGTGGTCAGCCCTTGCACTGTGCCTGCTGTTCCCCCATCACAGAATACACTCCCCCAAATGGGGCCAAACTTGGCCAGATTCACATAAGAGATGAGACTCATTCTGGGCAAAGAAGGGAAAATGCAGATGGACAGTGGGGCAGGCTGCTGCCGCTTGAGGTAGTAGGCTTAGAGTCTTTCATCCCAAAGTGTATATGACTTAAATAAAAGTAAAAATTACAAATGAAAGTAGAAAGGAGAAAGAGAGCACCAGGGGAGGAAAAGGATGGAGAATGTGTGCATTTGTGGGCACGAAGAACAGAAGAGGTCTGCATAGATTCCTGTAATCATATCTTGGAAGAGTGATACTGAAGAGGGGAACTGCAGGGCAGGGGGCAGCAAAGAGAGGGCACTGCACACCCCTCTAGGACAGTGGTCGGCAAACTCATTAGTCACCAGAGCCAAATATCAACAGTACAATGATTGAAATTTTTTTTGAGAGCCAAATTTTTTAAACTTAAACTATATAGGTAGGTACATTGCTATTAACTTAATTAGGGTGCTCCTAAGGCTTAGGAAGAGCCACACTCAAGGGGCCAAAAAGCCACATGTGGCTCGCGAGCCGCAGCTTGCCAACCACGGCTCTACAACATTCAAAATCTGTACCATGTGTTATGTATTAACTATTACCAAAAAAAGTAAGGATGCAAAATATTGAAAGTTAGCTGTTTATACATCCATCTCCCTGGTCAGATCCCCATCGCTCATCCATTCAACTAATAAATAGAGTAGCTAAGATGAGCAGCCTTTGCGTTTACTGAGGAACTACTATGTGATGAGCACTATGCTAACTTTACGGTCACCTTCCAAAGTTGGGTCCTAAGATCCCCATTTGTCAGATGAATGAGCTGAGAGCTCAGAGAAGTAAATTAACATGTCCGAGATCACAAGGTCACAGTCAGGGACAGGATAACCAAGAACCAGGTCCCTGGCACGGTCCCTACGCTCCTCCTCAGACTGGCCACAAAGGCAGCCAAGTGTCCATGGTGCACACAGCAGTTGCTCAATTCATGCTTCTTTTTTTTTTTTTCAAATATATTTTATTGATTTTTTACAGAGAGGAAGGGAGAAAGAGAGTTAGAAACATCAATCAGCTGCCTCCTGTATATCCCCCACTGGGGAAGTGCCCGCAACCCAGATACATGCCCTTGACCGGAATCGAACCTGGGACCTTTCAGTCCGCAGGCTGACGCTCTATCCACTGAGCCAAACCGGCTTTGGCAATTCATGCTTCTTGAAGGACAGGCATTGTACACAGACTACTCTCACAGATAAAGGAACTGGGACTCGAAGGGCGATGATCCAAGGGCCAGCAGGGCACAGGGCCACGGTCCAGTTAGACATGCTGACTCTGGACCAAGCTGGTGAACGTCAGCTTACAGAGCCGCCGAGGCACCCACGCCAGCTGAGGGCAGTCGGCAGCAGCACATCTGAACGCCTCCGTGTGCCCAGCTCCCCTCTTAGAGCTTCCCTGATAGAGCACCCGAGGAACTTCATGAGGTGGTCCTTGTGCAACAGCCACGGGGAGCGGGTCAGCAGCGAGGTCTGGAACCACAGAAAGCAGCCCCCGCATGGGGGCTCCCCATCCACAGACAACACAGCAAGAAACGGAACTGAGGCTGTGGCTGGTCACACTCAGGTTAGTTAGCACTCAAGGCGGGGTCCCAACCCCCTCAGCCTGTCACCGTCCTGCGCGAGCCCCAGGCTCTCTGAAGCACACCCACACAGGCCAGCAGTGAGCACCAGTGCTCAGCTCCAGCCACATGCCTGGGCAGAAGCCCAAGCCATCCCCACGCTGGGGACAAAGAGGCCACTCTCCGCCTCTGGGTCCTTCCCAAGGCCTCTCTCTTCTCATCCCTTCGCTCCTTGTGCCGCCTTCTGTATTTACCCGGGGCAAGAAGAAACCAATCAGGTTACATGTGGTCAGATTTCATGCCACAATTACAAGACCAGTTGGAAGAACTGGGACAGGGGGCTTAAATATTTTCTGAATCCAGGCTCTAAATACAGCTCCCACCACCATGGGCAGAGCATAGCAGCTAAAAACATGGACTCTGGCCCTGGCTGGTTTGGCTTAGTGGATAGAGCGTCGGCCTGCGGACTTAAGGGTCCCGGGGTCGATTCCAGTCAAGGGCATGTACCTTGGTTGCAGGCACATCGCCAGTGAGGAGTGTGCAGGAGGCGGCCGATCATTGTTTCTCTCCCATCGATGTTTCTAACTCTCTATCCCTTTCCCTTCCTCTCTGTAAAAAAATCAATAAAATATATTTAAAAAAAAAATAAAAACATGGACTCTGAAGCCCTTCCCTTCCCTGGCTGTGTGTTCCTGGGCAAATGTACTTATCTCTCTGTGCCTCAGTTGACCAACCTGTAAAATAGGTTTCATAGGCACTCATCCTTACAGGGCTAAGAGAGAGCATTAGAACAAAGCCTGCTGCATGGAGTGGGCTATACAAGCTGCATTAGTTACTGCAGCATAACAAATTACTCCCAAAACGAACACTGGAAACAACAAACATTTATTCTCACAGGTCCTGTGCGTCAGGAATCTGGAAGTGGTTTCGCAGGGTGGTCTGGCTCGGGGTCTCTGGTGAGGCTACAATCAAGGTGTCAGCTGGGGCTGTGCTCAGCTCAAGGTTTACTAGGAGGGAATTCGCCGCTTCCAAGTTCATTTATGTGGGCCTCTCCCAGGGCTGCCTCCCATGTGGCAGCCAGCTTCTCCCCCAGGGAGCAACCCAAGAGAGCACTCAACATGGAAGCCTCGGTCTTCTACACAGGTAACATCCTATCACCTCTGTTGTGTGCCATCCGTTAGAAATGAGTCACCAGGCCCAGCCCACACTCAAAGGAAGAGGATCTGATAAGAGCACGAAGACCAGGGGGTAGGGCCATACGCAAGGCTGCCTTCCACAGAAAAGTGTGTCAAGCCCCGTGTCAAGGCCTCAGCGTGGACCGCACTCCCGCCCTGTCCCCAGAGAAGACAGGGCCAGGCATGGATACACCCAGTCCATGGGCTAGAGCAGCCGTGGGCAAACTACGGCCCGCGGGCTGGATCCGGCCCGTGTGAAATGAATAAAACTAAAAATAAAAAAGACCGTACCCTTTTATGTAATGATGTTTACTTTGAATTTCTATTAGTTCACACAAACACTCCATCCATGCTTTTGTTCCGGCCCTCCGGTCCAGTTTAAGAACCCATTGTGGCCCTCGAGTCAAAAAGTTTGCCCACCTCTGGGCTAGAGCGAGGGCCTTGACAAGCCCAAGGAGGCAGGGAGGGCCCGCCAGCTGTGCTCCTGGATGCGAGACCCTAAATGGAGGCCAGGGCCCCGGGCTCCATCTGGGCTCCCCAAGTCCCCAAGAGGAGAGGACACTTGTGAAAGCAACGAGTCACCAGACCCATGGCAGATGCTCACACACTCTCCCAAATGGGGGCTGCTACTGAGACGTCTCTGCCGGGAACCTCCAGCAATACCTACTTCACACAAGAAGACTCCCACAGCCAGCCTCTTTGAGCCAGACCCTCAGAGACCCAGAGACCTTCCCAGGACACCTGCACGTGACACCAGAATCCTCTCCCCAGAGATCCCAGTCTCCAGAGACCACCACACAAGCCAGAACACACAGCAGCCTCCCCACAGACCCTGAACCCCAAGTCCCACCCAGACCCCAACTCTCAAAGAGCCCCTGTCAGTGGTCACAGAGAAACCTGTCAATGGCTCAGAGGCACACACCCTTCAAAGACCTTAACTGTCCTTTACAGATGCCCCAAGAAGCCCTTTCATTCCTTCTCCAAAAGCCCTAAATAGACCCAAAGTGTCCAGTCAGTCTGGACAGCCTCCAGAGACGACCGAGCTGCCCGTGTGAGCCCCTTGGGACCTACCAGAGTCCCCCGAGGAGCCCTGAGAGGCCTCCCACCAAGGCCCCACCCCCCAACACCCACAGCCTCACAATCAGCCCAGGTTCTATGCGACTCCTACCAGCTGCCCACAGACCACCACCCCCAAGTTCCCCCCACGCCCCTGAGGTCTCCCACGTGGCCCCAAAAACCTTGGAACCTACTCAGGTCCCTCCAGAGACCCTCAAGCCGCCACCTGCAAGTCCCCTCGTTCCCCAACCCGTCCCTCTCTCAGGCCCGGCCCGCCCCCGCCTGCAAACCCTCCCCACAGGCCATCGGGACCCCCACGCCGCCCCAGCAGCCCTCTC